TGTATGTAACACCTAAATACGTGCAAAACATTGGAAACTAAAGTTTTCAATCACAGTAACTTCAGATAGCTTCTCTCAAATGAACACACAAAAAAAGGTTTGTGACATTGCCAGCCTCACTAGAATCACTAGGAAACAACCCAAAACTCTTGAATTTGCTGCTCGGATTTCATGTCTTACCCAGTGTACAACAGGAAAGTACAGATATTGGATTACCACTGAGCAAACACATGCAGAAGGCTTCAAGTGCCAGCATCCTCACTCCAATTTAATTATCGCATGCAATTCAGTACTGCGTGTGCTTTTTGATGAAATTCAAGACCGACATGCACTAATTTCTCAGCAATATGTTAGAAATGTTAATATGTTTCACTTCATTTTGAAAAAATTACATACAATTACAACACATTAAGAGTTTTCAACAAATTAACTTGTTTCAAAGTTCAGAAAGATGAAACCACTGGATCAACAGATTCTTTATAAAGAAGTATCACAAAATGCTCCCTTTTCCGGGACAGGAAAACTACACAGACTGTTTTAAGAGACTTACATTTTCAACAAGAGTTGCTCCCTACTTATCTTACTCTAGGAAGGCAGGACCACCTACTCCACTGACAGCTCAAAAAACCTGAAGAATTTAAAGCTAAGCAAAAAGAATAAAGACTATTCAATTGCTTAAAACAGTATCAATTACTTTCTTCCCCAAAGGTATGCTTTGTGGAAAGGAGAAAAGCTGCATGTTTACAAGAGGGATTTTTCAGCTTTCTTTCTACAGCATAAATGCTCCATTTATCAGAACAAAGCAGTTCTCCATGTTCCCAGAAAATTCTTTTTTAAACTTTGCTTGTTTTCAGCATAGGTGAACTTTATATCTCATTACTTTTGACTCTGGAAACAAAACATGTACATTAAAAACGTTATTAATCCACCACAAGAAGGTAAAAAGATCATAAATCCCCGCAGCACGGTTTGTAACCACGGGCTAAATTATATGAAAGTGAAACTGAGTAGAAAGAGGAGTCAAACGGATGCTTCCACTGTCAGTACTCTCACTGCTCAAGTCATTAATTCTTAACGCCAGATAAACGTCAAAACCAGCAGTTTTTGAGACTAACGGCCTTCAGAGACGAGGGGAAGGCACGCACGTTACTGACATGCTGTTTGGCTCCCGAGTGGCCGTTTTGGGGGGGGCTAAGGAGGAAAGATACCGGCCCCGAGGCCTCAGCCGGCACCAGAAGCGCTATGAGGGCGCCCCGGTGAAGTTTCAGCCGGCGGGCGAAGCGTGGTTCTGGCCGGGGTCAGCGCATAAAACACGTTTAACGCGTTCAAACGCCGAGCAGAGACCCCTTCTTCCCCGCCCTCAGCCGGGAGGGGACACCCGGCCCGCCATGGCGGGGGAGCAGCGCACGGCGGGGCTTTGTTCGAGGCCGGCCCGGGTCGCAGTACCGCCGGGCGCCGGGCGGTGGCGCCGGTTGGCGCTGCGTGCGGCCCGTGGCACCGGCCGGGCCCGTCGCTCCCGCATGAGCCAGGCCCGTTTACCCCCCCACCCCGTTCCTA